TCTCCGAGAGCCGCTGGCGCGCGTCGCAGAAGGCGCCTCGCTCCCGCCGCCGCTTCCCCTCCGGAGGGATTGTGGAGCCGCTGTCGCCTGGTGAGGGACGGAGAGCGCTCTGTAGTCGTAGAACTCGCCGCTTTGCTGTTCCTGGTGTGAGCGAGTGCCTTTTTTGTCACTCAGATATGGCCTGCTTGAAGGATGCAGACACTGTAGCGGTCAGCATGAAATTCCCTAGCGGAGCAATTGTTACTTTGGACATCAGTCAGCACTGCACTAAAAGCTGTGATCAGAGACTAGAGGTGCGTTCTCACTTTTAAGTCGAGTCTGTCGCGACACCACAGGCCAGCACGAGTCTTACCCCGTGCGGGTTCACGTGGGGCGAGACGTGTCGTGCCCCGTGCGTGCGCCTGGGAGCACGTTTCCCAGCACACCTCTGAACCTCGGCAGCGGGGGATTGCTTGTGGTTTTTTAACCTACCATCCGCTTTCTCTTCCGTTACCCCAATTTTGCCTCTGTTTACACATGCTCTGTTGGGGCTGTAAGCTGCACGCTGTCATCCTAGAGCAGGAATTGGTGTCAGCTCCCCTGAGGCTGAAGCAGTTGTTGCACAGTTCATCGCTTGTCTTTCCAGGGTGTTTTTAGGTGTAGAGCAAGCCAAGAGTTGAGGGTATTAAAGGGGAAGAAAAGTGTAAACTCAGAGGCAAATTGTCTGTAAATTCCTAAAGTCACGGATTATAACAGATGCGTGGGCTGGGTTTGGGGAGTAAGAGCTGGTAGGTACTTAAAAAAGGAGCTTTGCTCAGGTGGGGGAAAACAAGGTGGAGGCATCACCTAAGCAGAAGCCACTGCAACACGTGCTGGTGTTCTCTGGCACGTCTGCTCCGTGTGAGGGGGTGCGTCGGTTGTAGCTCCTCCTTTTAGGAGCTGCTTTTTTCATGGAGGTACGAACCAGGGCTTCTAGAGACTAGCCCCGTGTCGGAGATGGAAAGCACAGTACGTTAAAAACGTCGTCCCCTTTGCTGTTGGCTGCCCTCCCTGCAGGTTCACGGCTCTCAAGGAACGCTACGGGTGGATAACCAGAATCCCCTGGGGATTACGGAGTGTGGGACCGCGGTGTCCATCTGTTCACAGGCCCAAGGGGATCGCTACGGGGACGCGCGCAGGGAGCTCTTTTTTTTGACCCTGAAAGGTAGGACGCTGGTGGCCAGCGCGGCTTTGGATTTGCTTTCGGTGAAAACTCCCCTTGGAAGCTGTTCCCGTAGCAATTGTGATGTGGTGTTTGGGTCCGAAATCCTAAAAAGAAACGAGTAGGTGTGAAAACTGGGAGTGAGCTTCGTCGTGGTTGAGTGTAAGCCCGTGGTGTGCAGGCGGGGAGCGAGCTGCCCGTAAGCAGACGCGGGGTTTCGCGGGCTGCTCGGCCGCCCTGACAGGCGCTGTTTTTTTTGGTGCGTGGGTGGCGCGGGCAGCTCGGCAAAAGCCGGGAGGAGCGGTCAGCCCGCGGAGGGGCCGGTGCTCGGTGGCAGCGCAGACGGCTGGCCTGGCGTCAGTGAATGGAAGTGAGTGACTCTGCGCCGTGCGCTGCTTCCCCCAAGTCAGGGAGATGGATGGGGCGCTGGCTGAAACTGTTCTGGGAAGGAATGAAAATTGGGAGGGAAAGTTGGGTTGGACCTTGCTGTGGTGGGTGAAGAGAGCGGCCATTTGTGACAGCAAGGAGCCCCTCCCCTGGAGTCCCGCCTGCCCAGAAGGGATAGAAATATTTCTGTCCTGCTGGCTGCCTTGACAAAAAAACAGGCTTTTAGTCCCAGGCCAGGAAGGAGAGGGGGCTGAAACTTTGGTTTTGAAATCTGAGGCCCCAGCTGCGGGACCTGCAGAGGGCTGCGGCGGTGGGTGGCGATGTGCCCGGCGCCAGAGCGGGCGGTGGTACGGGTTTCATCCAGCGCTTCGTTCCTGTCCCTGCAGGCAAGGAGCCCCCCGTGGTAACCAAAGAGCAGTTTCTCTGGACGATTCAGGTCGCCGCGGCTGCCGAGCAGTCCTGGAGAAACGGATCCGCCGTGGACTTGCGCAACGAAGCGATGGATTCGCCTGCGGTCGGTGCTGAGACGGCGTGATGTGCGCTGCCGCCTCCCCAGGGGAAGGAGAGCCGTTAAGCTGGGCTGCACTGCGGCCTTGCCACCTAGCCGGGTCTCCACTGTCACCTCCACAGCAGACTCGGGGTTTTGGCCTTTCCGCCCAGACGATGGAGGCACTTGGGAACCAGCAGCGCTCGGTGCTGCGGCCGCGGGTGTTCCTTAGCGGCGTCGGCCAGAGCCCTCGAGACGTTCTGGGCAGTTTCATCCAGGCGGCTCTTCCTCCTGGCGAGCTCTGCTGGCCGGGGAGCTCCCTTCTCCCGGGAGAAGACCGACGCTCCTCGGTCTGGGGTGTGGTGGTGC